CCAGCGCCCAAAGAGTACAAGCAGCGAGGGATCATCCGTTCTGGCGAACGCAGCAAGCGCTTTTGATATCGGTGGTCGCGGAAGCGAAGAAGATCTTACCGCAGCTCTTGAGAGCCTTGGAATCGACGACAGCGAGTCTACTACCTCCTACACCAAGCCCGCGCCTGATGCTGTTGCCTACGAATCGTCACTTGCCGATGCTTGCGGAGTGAACTTGAACACCCGTATTCTGGCTTTTAAGCCTCCGCCTCCTGAATCCTCCAAGCCTATTGATCTGCGCGCTCAGTACAATCGTCCTCTTAAGTCTGCCAAGTCTCAATCCGCCCAATTCCGCAGAAGAGTTCAGACGGCCCCTGAGCGTGTCCTTGACGCTCCTGGTCTGCTTGATGATTACTACCTTAACCTTCTGGACTGGAGCTCTGGCAACCAGGTCGCCATTGGCCTTGAGCGTAATGTCTACGTTTGGTCCGCCGACTCCGGAACAGTCAGCTGTTTGTTGGAGGCACCTTCTGACACTTATGTGAGCAGTGTCAAGTGGAGCGGGGATGGAGCGTACGTTGGCGTGGGCCTGGGTACTGGCGAGGTCCAGATCTGGGATGTCGAAGAAGGAACCAAGCTTCGCAGCATGTTCGGCCACGACTCCCGCGTCGGCGTTATGGGATGGTCCAAGCACACGCTTTCCACCGGTGCCCGCAGTGGTTTGGTTTTCAACCACGATGTCCGCATTGCCCAGCACAAGGTTGCCGAGCTGGTCTCGCACACCTCCGAGGTCTGTGGCTTAGAGTGGAGACCCGACGGTGCTCAGCTCGCGACGGGAGGCAACGATAACTTGGTCAACATCTGGGATGCTCGCTCCCTCAGTGCTCCCAAGTTTACTAAGACCAACCACCGCGCCGCTGTCAAGGCTCTCAGTTGGTGCCCCTGGCAGTTGAACTTGCTCGCCACCGGTGGTGGCTCGTACGACCGCCACATCCACTTCTGGAACACCACCACCGGTGCACGCACCAATAGCATTGACACTGGCTCCCAGGTCACCAGCTTACGGTGGAGCAACCACTACCGCGAGATTGTCAGCTCAAGCGGTTTTCCCGATAACTCCCTCAGCATCTGGAGCTACCCGACTCTGGTTCGGAATGTGGAGATTCCTGCCCACGAGACTCGTGTGCTGCACAGTTGCTTGAGCCCCGACGGTCAACTCCTCGCCACCGCAGCCGCCGATGAGAGCTTGAAATTCTGGAAAATCTTCGAGCGCAAGCCGGGAACCAGCGCCGCGGCTTCCCGCGAAGGTGGTGTTGGCAGCAAGGCGCAGATGACCAAGTCCATGACCATCCGGTAGATCCGGTTTGAAGAGTTGTGATGACACTCGCTTTCTCACTATTTCTTTTCGGGCTTACTATATGTTCAACATGATGCGTTCTATATCGTAGACCGGCGTTTGTCTCGATACCACTTGCGTTTCTTGAAGGGGTATTCTTCTTTTTGTGTACAGCGGATATTCAATGGTGTGATGGAGTTCGGATGGTGACTGGGAGGACAAGGCGCTGTGATTTAGGATGTTTGTCTTGTCTTCAGTGCTTCGGATCTTGTATAGAAATTGGTGACCAATAACAACCCTTTTTAATCATGGTTCTACTGCTTCGTTGTTTGGATATCGTTCAATCAAGGTCTCCATCATCAGAGTGAAACTTAGGGGAGGAGTGCTATCTTCGCCAGCCCGTCCAGTCCCTCCTTCAATAATCTGGCAGGATCTCCTTTGAGGTCTGGGCATCTTTCCTTCACCCCCAGACTAGTTGATCTGTGAAGGAGAAGGCTAAGGTAGGTGGGTCTACTACCTTAGGTATAAGTGGACTGGGAGGGCTCACGGCCCGTTCAAGAAAGAATGACGAGTGCTTATTAGCTGAGACTTTTCCTTGATCCAGTGGTTCGGTTGGCTCCTACCCGCATGACTTGAGCTAAAGGTTCAGGTTCAGTGCAGGAGGACAGAAGGAAGGGGGAAAAGAAAGGTTGCTTTTAGTAAACAAGTCACTTCACAGAGTGCTTGAAAAGATGGAGGTACTAGGTAGGGGCTCTGCCGGGACAGGCCTTTGTATTAGTATTTCGATTGTGCATGTATATTCTACTGACCTCTTTGTCTATGGAAATTCAATACCTCTGGTACTGGAATTACTGCTGCCGGTGTCGTATTAACTCCCCAGCAGAAAGCGGAAGCCGCGTTGATAACTTACCTAGATGATTACGTAGATGAGAAGCTGCTCCAATGTACCTAAGGTACCTCTTACTGGATAAATTTCTAGAGTACTCCGAGGTCCGTATCCATTACTACCAACGTACGTAGTTACCCCCATGAGTCAGCGTCCGCAGCATGTGACGCTTTCCCCCGCGGGATATAAAAAGGCATCCAACTTCTCCCTTCCGCCACCTTTCTTTCCTGATCCTCAGCCCTGTTCTTTACCTTCTTGGACTGTGATGATATATACTGCGATACACAGAGACTGTACCAATCGAGTTGCAAAACTCTGAAAGGAACGTCCTGCCAGTAGTCTGAGTCCCGAGTCTTTTCAAGTTGGGTAGTTGTATACAGTCAATCCACAGTCAATCCTGTGTTCTGTGCTTTGTACCGTACTTATACGCTTGGAGAAGAACCTCCACACTCTTTATCTAGCAAGAAACAGAAGCATCAACACCATAAATCATGATTCACCTCCGGTAGCTGCGATGCTCGGAACATCCTGTAAGCGGGTGGACTTTTGCTAATCCGTGGCAGTTCCTCTCTGCCGCAGAACGGGGCTTTGTTTGCAACTTCAGGTCCTGAGTGTATTTTGTTGTCGCGATCTGGCACAGCTCATTCACACTAGCCGGCGATCAACTCCATCTCAAGCAGACCAACTCCATCTCAAGCAAGGCTCCTCGTCCTCACTGAAGAAGTTGGTTAACACAAGAGTATATTTTTACGAGCAAGCACCGCACCTCTTCAGGAGACCACACGCGAGTAAGTATTTCTTCATTTCATGGTAGTGCAACAGTTCTGGAATCTCAATACACCAGTGTAAACACAGCAGGGATGCCTGGATTTTCCGCGCTTGGATTCCATCTTTCTACAGAACATACTCCATTAGTCCCCCTACTCGAGTCATCCTTACATCATGCTAACATCGAGAGAACAGAAAGACGTAGTTGATCAATGGCACCGAGGGTCGTTGTGCTTCGGACTGAATGCGTAACTCGGTTCGCTCTTATACAGAGACTCTGGCGAAGATACGAGGATCGCCTGCCGATGAAAGAAAGAGAACTGGTCAGCCAGAGCTCAGAAAGGTTCCAAAAATTGCTATGCTTCTCCCACTCCGAAGAGTGGGGTCCACGATACCCTTGGGCACGGGCTAAAGCAAGCCCCCTCAGAGTGAGAACTCCGGTCATCGAGTTCAACCAGCCGAAGCCGATGATCTCTCGCCCTGTTCTTTAATTTCTTCATCGGGGGAATCAGGCTGTGAACTTGAACTTACCGATCACTCGACCACCATGAGATCATAATCCTGACAGTGGGTCCTAATCGACTGGTGCCCAGAAGAAAAGATATGCAGCAGAAATCGAGAAAGTCTCGCAACTGTACGCAAAACTGGCCAGAATGATGAGGGTAGGCAACAGGAGAGAGCAAGAGAAGGACCAGGGGGAGAGTATATATGCTATTATTGTTCTGGACATATACTTCTTTCCTTGAACACAGATAGTATTACTCGAAGGCGGAAGGTGCCTTGAATGGGTTCAGAAAGAAGAAGCTACTTTATAGTCACTTTGAGAAGGAAGTAATCAAGAGCACTTGCTTCGTCAGTGCTCAAAATCTATCGTTTTGAGTAATAAAAACGTTCATCAGGATGTACGGCAAGTACATCCTACAAGTTTCTATAGATGGGTCGATTGCGAGGAGGGCCTCTTAATCATATTTTCTCTAAAATCAATCAATGTCCTAAGTCCGCCTAAAAGTTCTGACGAGTAGGATAGCTATCTTCATAAGAGACGATACGGAGCGCGGCAAAGCCACGCATTCGAGTTTCCATGACCACGCACGGCCATGGAAATTCTATCGTCGCCAAAATGGGTTATGCTGTACTTGCCATTCCAGGAGAGGGCAGCCTCGGCTCTCAGCATTTAAGAATCCAGCTATGAAAGCCCTCTTCCAGCAAGTCTGCTCGCTCGCCCAGATCATGGATCCATGGTGGCCTGCCCAGTGGCACCGTCAGTCCCTCGTAGGGCTCAGCACATACATGCTTCGCAATGACCTCTAGGACCTGGCATTCGGCATGGATGGCGGGAGTTTTTATTAAAATGCTCGAAAAGGAAAAACAAAGCCCAAGAAAACCCAAATCAAGACTATCGAGGCCTGTAATAATCCTTCACTGGTGGGTTATGTTATCACACCGAAGCCTTTCTCTGGGGGAGGGGATGTCTACTGCGCGTCACCACTTTCAGGGTGCAGTGAAAAATGAGATAGGAATGATGATGATGATATAGAAATGATATAGCGAATGACTCACACTGGCCTGCAGTGGCAGATCATTCACCACACCACGCGACGGAGATACATAGTGGTTTGATAGCCTTGGTTGCGAGAGGCTGCGATTAGTTGCGAAACTTTTACTACCAGTTATGTATAAGTAGATGACTAGACAACTAATATTTGTTAGTCACATAGTCCTGAATAGTTATGCAAAGCTTAAATTTAGATATATAACTATAGTGAAGTAAATAACTGTTCTATCTTTATTTTTACTAGTCTTTCTAATGGTCTTGATATACTTTAGAGCTTATATTCTAACAATCTAATACTGTTAAAAGCTCCTCTTTTTATACTCTCTATCAGTTTCAACAAGTAAATCACCATATCTTATTTCTTCAAAACCTTACTTCTCCATTCCATCTCTCCTTCAACACCTTACTTCTTCATTCTCATTTACCTCAGCGTTGAATTATCACTTCCAGTCGATATATCCAAATGCTTCACAATCATGGCGTCCAGTTCAAAGTCTCCGTCTAGCAAATCTGCTGACGCCGAAAACCAGCCACTGAACACTTTTCAGCAGGATAAATCTGGAGGTACGGGCGCTCGCAGAATCCTGCGGGCAACCCCGTAACTATCATTGTGTCGATCCGATACGACTCGGTCAGAGACTTCCATACTGATCGAAACCGAATCTGGGCCATGCCCGCCACGAGGAGCAAAAAATCTCTATTCTGTTTCTCAAAGATGAGCTGAAACTGTACTGCGAAGTTCCAGAGGTTTCAATAGAGGTCTGCAGTGCCTCTACTTTACCAGGTGTCAGCATAGGCATCCACAACAGTTCTGCGGGGTCTTCAACTCTTGGAGAAGCCATCCAGTTGCGGGATTATCGGGATTCAGAGTGGAGGACATTGTATCTCACGTGTTTCCATTGCGTCTTTCCACCCCCTCAGCATAGGGAGTCGCTCATACAGATCCATGGGGCCAAACAGGGTTAGTTCTAGGTATCCCTCTATTTTGAAGTCAAAGATATACTAATAATCCTTGGAATACAATAAGGTCTCGACCGCTGGGAAGATAAGCCGGCCAATTTTCACGACCCGCAAATTCGCGAAGTCCTCCGAGTCGACCATCCAAGCCGCCGTGATCTTGAGGCTGCTATTGCCACAGACAAATCCACCATCCAGCAGCGAAAGACTCCTGCTTACCAGAGAATGGAATCCCGCATCAAGGCCGAGGAAGCAGGGGAGGATGTTTTCGTGGAGCCGAGAGAGAGACAACGCTACGAAAAGATACTCAAGCCGATCGAGATGTTTCAGGAACGACTCGACAAGTCTGAGTCATTCTGGCACAAGAAGCTCTATTATCTCGGGAGGGTGATCGCAGGTAGTGGCCTGCATCGCACAAAGGAACGCTTCATCGACGGGGGCAGAACAGGCGTGGAAACGATGGACTGGGCCTTGATATCCGCTTTGAAAACAAGAGAGGGCCTCAACAAGGTATTGATCTACACACCCCTACACCGTCTTCAGTGATTTGTTGAGAACTATGCTGATCCGCCTGACGTTGTACAGCCATTTCCGTATACCGAAAGAGCCAAGCTCCTAAACATCACTTACTACCAAGCCAGCGACGTACAACCTGAATTGGATATGGAACTACACAAATCAGGTCGCTCCACCCAGTGTACTCAAGGTCGCTATAACGGCGCTATTTCCGCTGCAATCGCCCGTACCGAAGACAGCAATATTTGTTGGGTAAGCATGACGACCTACGAGCATGCAGTGGCAAGGACTGGCAATAAACCCTTCGCGAAGCCGGGAGACTCTGGGTCGTGGATATTCACACCCCAGGGAGAAGTCGTGGGGATGATGTTATATGGAGCATGCGAGCGCTTGAATATTGTGTACTTCATGCACATCGATGACATCCTGCAAGATATTAAAGATGTCACTCACGCTTTCGACGTAAGAATCGCGGAATAGGCGGAATGTCAGCGTTCGTGGGTTACCTCGCCGTCTCTTGCTTTAAGCACCACAGTCAAAGCGTCGGTGCTCTACATCAGCAGCTTGATTTCGATTTATTGATGCCTTTTTTCAACTTTGTCAACGGAATTCCTTTTCATCGCTCTTCAGGGCCGATTAGTTCGCTAGCTATTGAATTCAGATTGCTATCTAGCCCTTGCATTTCTCTCGTCTTACGATGTAGTAGGTAGACTACTTAACCCAATAACCGATCCCCACTTTTCAATGATAAAGTCGGCAGCTGGGCGAAGGCAGCACGATACACACAAGCACTTATGTGAAGAATCCAGCTCGGAACCATCCATGCTGGGTACACAGTGTTTTGGTCATAAAATATGGGGAGAGAATTGTTGTACCAGGTACCCTCCTCATCTTCCCAAGGAAACCAATACCTTATATGCTTGCCAGATGCATTCTTGTACAGGTGGGACAAGCCCCTTTACCTGTTCATTCTTCCTAAACAGTCAAAATTAATTCCTTTCTGTGATCACCCGAGATGTCCGAGATTGCCAAGCCGACGTATCTCCACCACAAGATCCATACGTTTCTTCATCAACCAGAGCTGCGACGGCTGCGACGGCCGTGAGGGCTGTTACGGCTGCGATTCCTCGCATGAACTACCTCGCTCGCCACGGCTGCCACGCCCACGAGGGCTGCCACAACCGCGAGGACCACCTCGCTCGCACGGTGCACTGTATTATGCACTGAAGCAGAATACATAACTAAAATGAAAGCGGTAGGTATGTAAATACCAATGGAAAGAAGATTCTCGAAGTGGTGGTCTTGAAGCTATTCATAGCGCACCATAAGACCTGAGGTTTATCTAATGGAGTCAAGGTACTACTTAGTAGGTAGTGGTCAACACTAGATCTCAATAGGTTGGAAAGGTATAACCATTTCCTAGGTCCTCACACCTGCCCTCGCAATACTCAACTCTGAAGGCTACAAGTACTGCGTCATATAAGATAGCCCTACTCGTCTCAGAATCCTGTATCGATAGCCAAGTCCCAGTCGTTCAACAAGAGATCCCATTGTATATCATCAATTTCTGGCGCTGCAGCGAACAGATCAGACCACAACTGACCCCAGCTTTCCTCGCCAGCGGGTTGAGTAGAAGTGGCGTCCCACGCCATGTGATTGTTCCCCGCAGTAGTAGCATTATCGGAAAAGTGGAGTTGCTGCACATCTGCTTCAGCAGCGCTTACCCTCCTAGTCGCCTCTCCCTGTGAAAATCGACTAGAAGATGTACTGAATGCACCTCCTTGGGACGTCGGCAAAGCATGAGACGACGCACCCAGATTGGCTCTCGGGGGCTGTTGTTGCTCCTTTTGCGTGCTCTGGAGAATCGACATTAGGGTCTGAGTATTCCTTTGGATCGCCTCGGTCAGGCTCGTTGACAAGCGCTGCGATTGCTCTAGCATCTTGCACGCTATTAAAACGTCCTGCTTCCTGCGGTCCGCACCGGGACTCCCCGGGTTCATTGACACATCCGAGGCTAGAACCATTGCGGCGAAGAATACATGTTGCATGACCATCCAATAATTGGAGGGCTTCATGCCGACGGTAGAGCTAGCTTCGTCCATTGTGCGGCGAAGATCAAGGATCCGCTGAGCGAAGTGGAGACACGCCTGGCGAGAATACGCAAATCGAGGGTTTACTAAGGCTTCACGATGATATGGGCGGTGGAGGCGGCAGATGCGGGTGTAGATGCCTAAGTGGCCGACAATGCGCTGCCAGGCAAGGTATGGTCGCTCCGTGATGATATCACGGCTCTGCTGTACATGTTCCGGGTCCAGCCGAAAGAAGTTCGGCATGGAATCGAGGACATTGTGCAGTTTGCGGTCTAGATCAAGGACTATATCGTAATCAGGCAACTCATTTTCTCCTAGGAACATAGAGGAGAAGGCGTCAACAATCTGCCGGCAGATCTCGGCAAACTGGACACGCAAGATGAAGACGGACATGGATGTTGGTCTGGTGAGGGGCAACCCGCAGTCTGGCCCACTAGTCGCTAGAGACTCGTCGTCAACATTACTTGGAAGGTTAACTCTCATGTGTTTTGGGTGTAGTAGGTATGAGCCCTCTTGTGGCCCTTGAGAAAGTGATACTATCCTGCACGACCGTTAGTGCCAACAGGTTTAAGCATGAGGTATGATAGACTTAACCAGTCGGATGACACAATATGCCACCATATTCGTCTCTGGACCTCTATCTCAACGATTTCGTACCCTGTGCGCTTCCTTTCTTCCTGACCTTTTGGAGAGTCCAGACGATGAATCTGCATCGACCGTGCCATGAAGATCGCGCGCATACGGAGAGCCTGTATCTTATCGGAGAACCCGTCTGCGTGTGTCAGAACGTGACATAGGGTCGTTATGGCGAGAAGAGCCACAGTTGACGGGGCTATGGGTCGCGAAGGATAATCTAGCATGGCAATAGCAAGGCGCGTGAAAGTGGCGAAGGCAATTCTGGCCTCTTTCTCTGTTGCTTTGAGACTTTCTAGGAGCTCGGATGTCGCAACAAGAGTGCTGCCGGCATATATGCTTAAGAGCAGAATGACCACGGGAAAGCTCGGTTCCTTGCCCTCAGATATATCCCGGTAGGTCTCCTCCATCAGAACCCGCACAGATGGTATATGGAGAACACCAAGAGTCGGTTGGATAGCTTGTACGAATTGGTCGAACAGTTGCCGTGCTTGCTCCACCGGGGGAAGACATTCAACTATGCACCTCGGGTTTTGCATGCAGTCGTCGAATTCGACAATCTGTTCACGTACTGCTGAAGAAGATAGCTTCGCAAAAGAAGTGCCACCTCCAGCTTTTTCATGCTGTATCCAACGACATTTCAGCTAGCTGTGTTAAATATCTGATGAGCTGTACATACACTATCGGCCCTAAAGCCAGAGGTTATGGAGCCTAAGTCGATTGGAGCTGGTCTCTGTTTATGTGTCAGAGTAAGTACGGAAGACAAGGATGCGCCTTGATCACTCACACTTGTTTTATGTGTGGTCGAAACTGTGCCAAATACCGCCTCTTCTAGCTTACGTATTCGATCCACTAGGCCAGAAGATTCATCGTTGCTGGGGTGGAGGCTTGATGCGGTATTGTCTTCTATTTGGGATACAGACAGCGGCGACAATACGGGGTCAGCAGGTGGATCGCTAGCTGTACCTTGTCTTGCTGAGTAAATCGGAAGATCTTGAGGATCTGGTCCGGAATTAAACTGGCAGTGGACTTTCCGTAGCTTGCAATTGTTGCAAGGGTATTTGCGATCACATCGCCATTTCTTTTGGCGGCAATTCTGGCATGATAGCCGTGGCTGTGGAGTCAATCGCTGCACCATAGTATGGGGCACACCATCATGTTTTCGTTTCATGGTAGACATCATGTGAATGGTTGGTTGCCGTGTTATACATACCCAGTATAGCGTGTCCCTGCCAGGAAATCTGAGACTGGAATTGGAAGCATTGCGATAAGGATCAAGACTCAGTACGTAGATGCAGAGTGGAGAGGGACGAGAGAGCTGTCCTAATACGGCTGGCGGCTCCGCAACCCGGTTCTTCTACCTTGCCGGATACGGGAAAGCCCCCCGCGGAGCAGTTTACGGAGTATACGAGTCACGGGTAGCTTGCGTGAATTCTGTATGGAAAATGAAACTGCCTGCTCTTTGGCCAGACTTACCTGACCTTAGTCCTCCATAGTCCAATAACTAGTCGGCATGATTCATCCTTTGAAATGAGAAGAGCCCTCTAGGAAGAGATTGCCAGAATGAGTGGTCTCGATATACTACAACGAAGATAGGCATGCTAGAAGTTATCTTTTATTTTTGGTGTCTTTTAGTGAAAGACAGTTACTTTGAAAGTGAAGATATGACTGTACAAAAAGGCAGTGGCAATCATTGCCAAGAAATGCTACTCATAAGAAAATGGTAGGGACTCCCCCGGATAACGATAACCCTTGACGGGACTAGCAGAATGGTGACTAAGCAGGCGGGAAGAGAGGCGGATTTCGCCCGGGGAGAGCGACTTTCACCTCAACCACAACCCTCTGGCACATTGACCTTTCTTGTCACCGCCAGGCCCTTGACTCAAGCTCCTACTCCATCTCTGCTTTTCTACCATTCTACTGGTTCTGACAAGGCAAGCGGTACTCTCACAAGATAGGACCACCCCGGTGAGGACGTGTTACTGTAGCGGGCGTTGGAGTTTCAACTGTCGCATGAGCCCTTGGCAAACACCCAACGACGCCTGCGACTGCGACGCTTCACCTCAGATAAGCCGACTCTCTCACCCACGCCTTACTGTCGTGATATTCTAGAATCCCACTCTTTCGTGTTCCACCGTCTCTTTAGCAACGCCTCATTCTCTTCCTACTCTTCTCCATTTTACCTAAAACCAGCCAGAGACCCTTTGCGAGGTCCTGCCCCGGCGACCATGTCAAACCAGCAGGTGGTGAGTATTCATCCGATCTATCCCTACCTGGCGTGTGAGCTTTGTCGAGTATGGTGGCTATGCTTGCATGCCATTGAGATAGTCTCACGGCCTCAACACTTCCACAATGGTATCTTCCTTTCCTTTTCAGGTCGTTGGCTGATACCTGCCAACAGGGCACGGTGTTCGATCGTGTCATCCAGGAGGTTTGCGATGGCTCTCAGGTGGACTTTGAAGAAAGTGGAGTGGATCAACAGACGCTTCTAGATCTGCGCAAAGTGAGTGATAAATCCAGTTTCTGAGTTTTCTTTGGATGAAAAGCACGGAAAATGGGGATGGATTGCGCGGTGAAAGAGGGAGAGGGGGGTGTGTGATGAGGTTCCCAAGCGGGGCCCGAGAGGAGGTGCGGGAAAGGGCAGTGGATGCGCAGCTGGGGGGAACTGCTGGCTTTTGAGTCTCTTTTTATACCGCGCCGCTTTTACCCGCCCGTCGCCCTAGTTTGCCAAGCCCACCTTCTACTTACTCCCTCTCCCTCCTCATTCCTTCCCTATACCCTCTTACCCTCTTATCCTCTTATCCTTCTACCCCGAATTTCCCCTCACCACACTTCTTCGATTCTTACGGCGCTGTCCTTGCTGGGAGTCTATCTTGGTCAAATACTGTCATACAATTGTGGATTATTTTCGCAACCCACTAACATTCCTATCGCAGAGCTGGCAGAAGAAGCTATCTTCGTTGGGCGTCGCTCATTTCCCTTGGGATCCCCCACCACCGCAACAAGCCCCTCCCAGCCAAAACCAGCAGCAAATACTCCCTCCCACTGCCACCGTCCCCTCCAACGCTCCTCGTCCTGCTCCATCTCCTCATCCCCCACAGCAACATGTCCCTCCTCCGCAACAACCCATTCCTCAGTCCATGCCCACCCCGGCTCCCCCCATGCAAGCTCCGGCCCCGGTAGGCGTCCCGCCTCGCCCAATGGGCCACCTTCCACCCATTAAGACCGAGCCTGGGGTCAACAATCAGCCGGGGATGATGCCCGTGAACAACAACGGCAACATGATGATGCCACCCAGTGGCTCAGCCCCCCAGTCTGCTCAACAACGGGCCGCCGACATGCTCCGTCAGCGCTATGGCGATGCAGCTGCCACTTCGGTCAGTCAGCTGCAAGCTCAGTCGCAGGCAGCGATGGGCATGCCAGGCCAGCCACGCCCACCAAACATGCAGCATTTGCCGAATGGCCAGGCGCCCCAGATCAAACAAGAGCCTGGCTACCCACCTGCCCCCCGTCCTTCCTTGGGGAACGCTCAAACTGATGGTGCTGGAGATGCACTCTCTGAGTGGAAGGCAGAGGTCGCGCGACGGCGTGAAGCCGCGCAACGTCAGAACGGAGAGGGCGACCGTCTCTTGCGAGAGCACCTGAAACAGCGCATGCTCCAGTTTGAGGGTGGAGGCCTTATGCTACCTTTGGAAGAGCGACAAACCCCTTCAGCACGTGGCCTTTCGCTTAATGCAAAAGATGGAACTGGAGCACAACCCTCGGTTGTTCCTAAAGCCCAATTCGATGGTCCAGGTGGTGATGATGAAAGAGACGAAGATGACGAAGATGCCATTAATTCTGATCTCGATGACCCGGATGATCTCGTTGCAGACGAGCACGACGGCGACGAATCCATGGGTCAAGTCATGCTTTGCACCTACGACAAGGTACAAAGGGTGAAGAACAAGTGGAAGTGTACGCTGAAGGACGGGATCCTGACCACTGGAGGCAAAGAGTAAGTAATCGGTCTCATTTCAAGGGTTAATCTTGGCTAACTAGCTTTAGATATGTCTTCCACAAAGGCCAAGGCGAATTCGAATGGTAGGCCCAAGTTACGAATAAGATCGTCGAGCTCAAGAATATGTCCTGCTCATGCGTCTCCTGTTTCTTTTTCTTAATTCCCCGGTGCTTCGCCTATGTCTCCTGCCATCTTTGATGTAGAAAACCAGTTATGACACCAATTTATGATGAAGAATCAGCCCATTCCACACGTTCGGGGAGTTGGTCAGTGCAAAGTGACCTTTCCCATGACGATGACGTACGTAACCACCTTGCTACATACTACCCTACTGCTGAAAGGGATGGATGGATTGCCTCGATCTCAGGTGTCGATTTTTCTGAGTTTCTTTCTTTCCTTCGTTCCACTTTGGATGTATCGTGGCGCTTGTTCAGGTGGACGGCAGTCTTTTCTGCTCTTTTCGTTTCACTTCGTCCCCCTTGCTTGCTTCCATGCTTGTTTCTCATCGGGATCATGTACTAGATTACCTCAAGTCGAATGAATTTGACGTTCCTATCTCGTATGTGTATCTCTTTTAATAGATCACTGAGCATCGGTGCCCCAACGTAGTAATCCCACCAAAGATCTAAGTATTTAACTAGAATGCCGGGTTACGACTGCGTGCATGCCACCAAAAGTGGCCACGGCCAACGTCTATCCAACTGGTTAGGTAACTATATAGTTGGTAAGTGCTAAGATGCTGATCGCTGGCTGCTGACTCGCGCGGAGCGTAACTACTTAGCGATACTGCTCAGTGATATACTCAAGTGACTGGGAAACCCTAACAACATGTTGCTCTTGCAGAAATAGCACCAGACCATACAGCCCTTAGTAGGTAGTTGTAGTAAGCATGTCAATATGACTGATGAATAGTTCTGAGTGGTTCGCTGGGGGTTGGTGGCTGAGCGCAGGGGCAGCCTGCACGGATTCGCCTAGGTTAGCCCTCTTCCTTGCTTTTCCTTTTCGGATGTCTCGATGATGTATCGATGAGAGTTTACAAGTCGAAGGAGTGGGGGAAGGACTGTCTAGAAAACAATAGACCTCTCATACAAGCTCAGTCAAACGACTCCTACTACAGCTAACTTATCTCCGTCCCTCCTACTCGGCTGTTATGTCTCTCCTCCAGAACGAGAAGTCCTGTCTCTGGTATCATCTTTTCATTATATTGGGGATAGAAGACGGAAAAGGTTTATATAAGAATGAAATTTTGTCTTGCCGGTTCTTTCTCATTTATAGTATAACCCAGAAGAATGGACCATAACGATATAAGCAACAAGGGGAATGTAGCATGGATCTGAACGAAAAAGGGAGAAAGCAAAAAAAAGAAGAGGAGATAAATTAGAAGCAACAAAAGTTCTGCATGTTTTTCTTTTGGACCCCAAGCAATCAAAAAAAGCAGACCCATTGAAAAGAAGCCACACGAACTCCAAACAGCAAGACAATGAAGACCGAGAAGGAAAACATTTCATACCGATTCACAAACCGGCTGACAAGAGTCATTGGGATAAAGGGGGAGAGAGATAATTCTTTCCAGGAATGTCTTTCAAAAGGAAGGAAAATATTGAGACTGATCTAAGACTAGATCAAAGCACGGTCGTCTCCCAAACCGCGGCTGACTTATTGACAGACGTGAGACGTTTCATACCATTAACTCCAAGCCACCATACCGGTCATTAAATCGTACTTTCCGCGCGCGACGACGGCCATAAAACAAAATTCGTCGAGTCGAAATTAATGGGGGAATAATGAGATTTCAAAAGAGAACACGTCGCTATCTTCGTATTGCTTTTTTGCTTTTTGGTTGTTGAGCGGGACTGACGGCAGCGCAGCTATCATCTTAGAGCAAGCCCTCCTCACCGATGCCAGGTAGGCCAGCCCCAGCAACGTTGATATTTTGGCCCTGCATGACACCCCCGCCGAACGCCAGATTACGACCTGCAGCAAGCTGGAAGTCAGGGTTGCACGGCGGGGAATGCGATTTATGATACTTCAAGCCATTAAGGTTCTTGTAGCGCTTGCCACAAACCTCACAGCGATAGGGCTTCTCTTTCTCCATGCCAAGGGTACCGGGGTAAGGGGTCGAGGTCTCAGGATTGACGATTGAGAAGGTTCCATCAGCGTTATCATGTAACTGCTGGTTGTTGTGGCCGTGCTGAGGAGAGTCAAGTTAGCCTATGAGCCTGAAAAGAATGAGTATAGATAAGAAAAGACATACTGCTTTGTGGTATTTCAGGCCGTTCTGATTCTTGTATGCCTTCTCACAGCCAATAACAGGACACCGGAAAGGCTTAGGCTCTTCATTAGGCAGAAGAGCGGTGGTATCAGGCACACCTGCCAGCAGTTGCTGCTCACGAATCCGCCGAGCAATCTCGCTATTCGGACCGTACTGAGCACCGCTGAGCTTAAAATGAGCATTGGGAGTGTTGAGACCACCAGTCGGGCTAAATAGCCGCTTAGCTGGCTCGTCAATGCACAGATCGACCATGTCGCTGTTACCAGTGAACCGGCCAAATTGCGGTTGACCTTGCATCATAGGGTTCTGCATATTCAAATCGCCAAAGCCACCAATCATACTCTCGTCGAGTTCAGCCGGCGTGCCGGGAGCGGAGGAATCGGGGGTTGTTCGGAACTGCGAGTTCTGAAGCGGGTTTGCCATCAGAGTAGGTGTATTGACAGACGAAACGGTAGGGTTGTTCTGCAGCGAAAGGGGTCGTCCGGAAGCGACAGGCGTTCCAGGCTGTGAGCCCTTGAAGCCCTGGTGACCGGGAAGCATAGACAGGTTCAGATGCGGGACTCTTTGGTTGCCATTTCCGAATCCTCCTTGGCCTCCATCGCGCACCTGAGGGGAGAACAATTGTGAGGCGGCATCACTTCCGTCGCCGATTGTATCGTCCAGCTCCATATCATCGATTGTGTCCAGATCGGAATGCTGCGGAATTTGTGGCGTCTGGTTCAATTTTCGCTGCATATCCATGGTTCGATCCGGTTGTAGCCCACGAGCTTGGTTGGGAATCTGTTGGTTCTGCTGTTGCGCCATCACGGCTGCAGCCATAGCTGCTCTGCCATCACCTTGACTGGGGCGATGGCCTTGGTGGGGTGATTTGGTGGCGTGGGCTTCTTCATAATGCTGTAATAGATCGTGGAGTGTCGGGAGTGTCACCCCGCAGCAGGAGAAATCGCGCATAAAGTTCGCTTCCAGTTTCGGCAAGTATGAAGAAGAATGGAACGAGGGCGACTGAAAAGTGAACGGAGACGTGCCGGTCATAATAATACTAAATCATCGAGCGTCAGCATCGTAATCATCAGAAGATGCTTGTTAAGCCCGAATTTTACTGGTGTTCGGGCGCAAGCAAGAGATATATGATATCGGCCTGATTGAAGGGGTTACAGAGAAAAAAAAATTAAGGTGGCACGCACTCATCACGAATCCAGCTTCCAACAGACACTCCACCCCAGCTCATTCCACCAACTAAGCTTCCTGCTAATGACTCCCGCCGGGGGTTATCACGATTAGATCCAGACATTGAGATCGGTTTCGTTCCGTTGCCCCATTGTGCGGTAGCTGCTCCGATCGAGTCCTTGCGAGGAGGGGGGGCCTTGAAGACGCTGAGTCCGACGCCATTTGCATGGGAGAAGCTAGGTGTTCGGTCTACATTGTTCGCTCTTTGCAAAGCTGAGGTGAGGTTTGAAGCCTGCTGCCCCGGAGGGGAGACAGAGCTCTGGCGGGTGGCGATATCGATGGGAGCGGCACCGGTCATGGTGGTGGTGGGCGTTGTGGTGAATGTGGTCGGAGGAGGTGATGAAGGGAAAAGAGGAAAGTCGAGGTCTTGGTGGAAAGGAGGGTGCAATTTTCGAGCGTCAAAACACGGTGAATGAACGTCGCTGAAGTCGAAGTCGAGGGAGTCTTCAGCCCACGGCAGATCCGAGACCTTTTCCTTATCCGGTCCGCGCAGCGATGGGCCAAACCCGAGGGGAGTGGTAACGGGGGTGGATTCCCGAGTAGAGGCGCGATCGTGATCCCCAACAACGGAGGGAGAGTGATGAAGAGAGGGAAGAGGACTATGCGTCGCTTCGGACGAACCGAGCATGAAGAAGAAGTTGATGGAAGGAGGATGATGGTTTAGACTAGAAAGACGGTTTTGGGCGGGTTCACAGAAAGAGTCCAAGACAAGAAGAGCAGCGGTTTCCACTCTTTTCCCCTCGGATGTTGTCCCGCTTTGGCTGCGGAACAGTGACGGATTCGGGAAAGGTGGCGGGACGTAACAATCACTCGGCAGTAAGTAAGTAATTATTATTGCAGTGGGATGAGTAGTTTCGAAGTGGAGTATAGATTGTCCGCCGGTTCAGGGCAAGCAAACGCAACGGTAGATAGAAGTAAAAAGAACGAAGCTGGGAAGGGAGAAAAGGGAGATAGATAGTAAGTTAATAATAAGTAGCACAACATGCACACCAGAGACATAAGGGAAGAGAGAGGGAGGGGGGGGAGAAAGACAGAGACGGAGAGTGAGCGAGAGACAGTTAGTAGGTAAAAAGAAAGATGAGACAGTAAGGTGAATCAACTGCAGGCCAAGGAGTTGGCAACTGGCGGCCAAAGGGGTGGGAGCTCGTTTCTAGTGGTAAGATACATACATTACATGTGAATTACCGCATACCGTAACCGTGACTCGACCTCTCGGGATGATTCATACACTCATACACTCATAGATGACTAACTCCATTTGCCTCCAATCCGCCCCATCAGTCATCACTCATCACTCATCAGCCCTTCCCATAGTTAGTTACTGCAGTTGCTGAACCCATTCCTTTCCCCGCCGGTCCGCCCATGAAACACTCTCTCACTTGAAACTGCAAAACTGACAGGGCAGAAGCATTAGTCAGGGAACCCGCTGGGTGCCACCGCCGCGTTCATTAGTACGTAGTCTCTTCGTTGCCCATTTTTGAAATAGTGATCGACCCATCGGACGGAAGTTCTGTGGAGAGCCCGCTGAGCGAAGTCACTGAAACAAGTCCAGGCACAACACAAAAGGATGATATCGAAAGAAAAAAAATTTTCGTTGAATCAAATAGCTTCAAGATCCATCTGAGCAAACCACCAACAGCGTTCGTACTTTTCATAGTTTAGGGAAGTTGAGGAACCTACCTTATGCTACTAGACTACCTAACCTACGAGTGGGACCGTTAGCAGGCAATAAAATGGACACCGCTTGCAGTTTAGTGGCCGCGCTAGCGCTTCTTCGAAAAGTCGATGATGCTGATGACGGCGCTGGACTGGTGGAAAGCTGCTGCTGCTGCCGCGACTGCTGCAGGAGATCCAGAGGGGCGTCACCCTTGTAACGCAATCGTATTGAATGCTATCCCCACAGTGAATCCCGGTGGTATTACCACATCTATACACAGACAAGCGGTCCATCGCCCCGTGCTCCGTAGCCGCCGAGGAGCATTGATGATTGATTGATTGCTTGATTGATTGCTGCGGCTGCGGCTGCTATTGCTACTGCTGTTATTGTTGGTCGCC